CCCCCCCCATGCTGGTTTTGTTCCTCCAATTAACTCTGATCTTTTCTTTTTTCTTAAATAGCCCAATAGAATCTTGCCAGAATTTCTACAAAGATTTCACGTTACAGATAGACATGGCTTTCAATGTGTTCTTCCTGCTCTACTTTGGCTTGCGTGTAAGTACCTCCCTCCTCCATACCTGATTTTTGGGGGGTGGGGTGGGGGTAATAAGTTGCAGCACTATCTTTCCCAGATGTTCTCTTCAGGGTATCCTGGGATCTGCAACTTTGATGAGTATACAAAGATTGAAGGAAGCATTCCACTTGTTTGTCTCTTCTGAACAAACCAACTGAAGTATCTGCTCAAACCCATGTTGGGATTAGGAATGGCTTTAGTCAACCTCTGTTCATCAGCCTTTCTGGACCACTTGCCACCATACACATGTGTGTGACATTCTCCCAACCAGCCACACTTCCAGAGATGGTGGAGCACATTTGAAAGGCACCAGACATAGAAGGCTCACTGAAGCAGAAAGGCAATGTGGAGTTTCAGGAAGGGAAGGAAATGATGGGGAAAAAATGCTAGGAGAATGACCTGTTTCACTTCTGCTAGCTCTCCCAGCAAGCTAGCAATCTTTTTTTTTTTTTTTGCAGGGAGGTGGGGGAGACTTTTGGGGAAAGTTTAAAAGTTATTGTACATCCATAAGGATTTTATGAATATTTATAACAGCAGAACTCATATTACTGAGATGAATATTCCATCATCTCTTCCCTACCCATATCATTCTTATAATAAATAAGGGGTATAGTTTCTTTATCTAAAGTGTTATGGATCTGTTATCCATAAATAAAATAATTATTTCTTCTTATTTGGTGGATCTGCTACTTGTGCATATGGATATAAATTTCAAATTAAAAGAATACATTATAAATGCCCTCTTCTTCAATAGTGCAAGAATTTCCTATGAATTATAATGACTTTACAGCATATTAATGTTGTATTGTTAATGCTTGTAGAGATATGAAATGGAATAATTCAACCCCATCTCTTCCAGAATACTTCTTTTTTGCTCATGTGACAAAAGAGAGATTTCCCAAAAGAAAATATTGACCAATTCCAGGGTTTTAATGTACTTGGAAAGCAAATAAAAACAGAGAAGTTCATACTTTTTTCTGGGATTTATCTCATGTGAAAAAAACTACCTGTATTTTCCAATGGTTGAATTTTAACATTTAAAACCAATGCAACTGCATGGAAATGTTGTATATACATAACTGTCAGGCCTAGCCCAAGGAACTCCAGGAGACCATGCAGATTCAGTTCAGCAATGT